CCTCTCAGCTGGAGAGAGTGTACGGCATACTCCCACCCGCGAGATGGGACGATGGGGTCGTGTACGTCCTTGCAGACCTAGGAGTTCATCGCTATAACGCAGCTGATGGGACGAGGCTTTCCTTTACGAGGTTCCCTAATGTGAGTCAATCGGTGGCTTGTGTCTTGGAAGGGGGCCTCGACAGTGTGGCGCTGGCCAATCGAAATGGGATGTCGATACTGAGTAGTGATGGTCGCGATAGACGGTCGCTGGTCCAAGGGCATATTTACGTTATGAGTGGTCTCGCATGGAGTAGTAGGCTGGGGACTATATACTCCTGTGGAGCTGAGGGGACAGTGAATAGGTAGTATATGAGAGGGATGACTCTATGGAGTTGCTGTGATTCTGTCGCTCGATGCAATTTCTGAGATGATGAATATGCACGTGGCGCTTCCTCTGTACTACAATTTTACAGGGATAGGAAGCGTTTTATTTCTCTGTCATGAAAAATTTCGGCTTCGTATTTTCTGAGAATAATTCTAAGTCTCCTGCCTGGTGTTAGTTCCCGTGGTGATGGGGCAGCTAGGGTGAATTTACGATAGCAATAGAGCAGTGGTGGTCAGATACGCTCGGACCAGTTGGACGGTGGCCCGCACGTATGAGGAGGAAGAGGAGGAAGAAGACACTTGGTCCGATTGAGCTGGAGAACCTACTCTCCCATTGACGTGTCCGAGACGAGTATGAGGACGATTATCGAGTTTTCGCAGTGTGAAGAAGTGGTCTTTCAGTGCCTGTATTTGTTGTCGTGTTTGCTAGTGGGGGTTGTTGCCGCATTGGACCAGCATCAGCTGAAGGTCAGTGGATGCTACTCTCTTTATGGGCGTCTATGGACGGGAATTTGTAAGAGCGTTGAAGATGGAGACAGGCCTGAGGGAGGAGGACCTCTCAGAGGAGCGATGGAGGCAGTTGGAAGATATCGCTGAGACGGGCGTGGAGTCTGTGATGAGGAAATTGGGGGAGAGATCGGGTAGTAGCATGACCATGGGTATTCTGACCATCAATACGTCATTGACATGCTTCTGTGAAGTGTTAGCGACGGAATTTTACTCGTGTTAGACTTACTCGAAAAACTCCCATAGTACCGTGACGATGACACCAAGGATGAAGTCAGGGGTTTTAAACTGAACATGTTCGACCATATGGTGTCTTATTTGATACGTTTGATAAAGTAACCTCTTTCGAGTACAATTGTAGAGTACAACTATAGGCATTTTCATAGTTATAAAACTCCAACACATACTCCTAGGCGTAAGGCTATACGTTTAGCAACATCTCTGGATGTTGGGGTGACACCAGCGGCCGAGTATTTTGATGGAGTCGGGGTATCACCGTTGCTTGTGTCTATGTCGTCGCATTCAGGAGGGGAGTTGGCGGCTATGATCAACCAGCTTATGACCGGTGGAGCTACGATCATCTCGGCCCAGGAGGTTATAATGTTGCGTCTTTGTTGAAGGGATTGTTGGATTAGATCAACGCTACTAACTCGAGACCATTGCCGGCGGCCTCGATGCCGTCTACAGGCTTACTGCCCTTCCCCAAGGAAGTCGATACGACAACCATGGGAGGCCGACTGGTATGGGGAATCTGCCGGACTTTGGCTATTCCCTGGTTGTTACGCGGCACCAGAGCGTCTAAAGGCCGTGCCGAAACGCCCAGCAGA